ACACACACACACACATTTACATTTGTGCAAACATCATTTTTTTGTCTCCCTCTCTCAGTTTCGTGTATCCACATGGAAGGTGGCCATTAGCTTAGTGACCCGTGATGCTGATCAAAAGGCCCTGAGTATTGGCCTCAAATATGAAAAGTGTGAGACTAATGTGTGTGTGTATGTGTGTGTATGTGTGTGTATCCTGAATCTGTGGTCTTCCCTATCAGGAACCAGTTTTAATAAATACACAGTTTGGTCATTGTGCTGCGTGTTTACACATGCTGGCTGTTTTCATTCACTTTCTCCACACTGCTTTGTGTGAGTTTACGTGTTGAAGTTGGCTGTTTGCTGAGATCAGCGTGTTTTCCACGAATACGGTTAGTTTTCAGGTATTCATTCATAACTCCACTGGCCATTTTTCTGTTCTCAAACTATAACTCAAACAATCAATGTAACAAAAATGATTTATTTTGTCTGAAACTACACAAAGTAGTGATGATGTGCCCTTCACCACAATCTCTAGTATACCATCAGTACAGGTAAAGAAAAACATTTGAGGATTTACACGTTTTCAATTAGTCTACTAGCTTGTTTATAAATCATATTGATTTGTTATGACACTTTAACACTTTGACGCAATATATTCTTTAGCATTTTTGCCTTTATTGGACAGTTTTAAAGTAACTTTTAAAATATTGATTTGAAAGCCGTCATTGTTACACTCTAGTATTTATTATATATATATATTTTATTGCCTTTAATCGATAGTGACAGCTGAGTGACAGGAAAGAGGGGATATGAGACGCAGCAAAGGTCGGCTTCGAGCGTGCTTTGAATGCAGTAAGAACTACAGCAGCAATTTGTAGATGTACAGGACTAATGAGCTTGTTCCTAACCAATGCTCAAGGTTGTTCTACTCATTGATTTTATACATTATGCTTCTCTCCAAGTGGCCAAAATGTACGTAATTAAAGTCGAATTACGGTCCTCCGAAGATATACTTAAAGGTCTCTGTTGAGCCAACACAGAGGAGGGTAATATGGATAACTGTAGGTCGTCAAGGCTCGCAGAGGAGTTGATCTCAACAATGCGTTGTTTGGACCTGACTGGTTGATTGAACTCCTGTTTGTGTCGGAGCAACCACCATCATTCCAGCTTTATAGTGACAAATAGCACGCTGAAATGTTCATGTCCAGGGAAAATACTCTCCCCAGCCCTGTGCAGTGCAGTGGCTGCATTATACCGCTGACACCGCTCTACCTAATAGTCACATTAATTGCTGTGCTCAGAGACAGCCTTAAAATATCCTGATATAAAACAGATTGCAACAGAGTTGTTTTCTTTCTACCTGCTTTATTACTCGCCTCCTCCCTGACAGAGAGGCCTGATGCGTGTCATGCTGGGATTTATCTGGCGGGGTCTCATCTGGTGGACGAGTTTCTATCTTCTTTAGTAGCGGTGGCAGATTTCCAGCTGTGCTGAAGCACCGGCACCCACTGCTCTGTGACCATAGACCACACCGGTTCATGCTAATAGCAATTTAGAGGAGGAAGATGTATTAAAAAGAGGGCGAGGAGGAGCTGGTCCACGGCGCTGTATGTGCGTGTGTTGGTGTTGGAGGAGAGGCAGGTTCACATACAGTAGAGCAGAGTATGACTGAAAGCAATACAGAGCGACAGAGCAAGAGGAATGGAGTGAGCATTGGTGAGATTCTGCTCCCCTCCCAAGGTAAAGAAACAGAGCAAACAAAAGAGACAGAGTGGTTTGGGTGAAGAGGGGGGACTAGAGGAAGAGGATGGAATAAAGGAGGAGAGTGTGTCAGAGTGTTGTTGGACACTTAAAAGAAAAATAATGTTCCCCTTAGATGCTATTTCACCTGCCTACACACTATCGTCACTGCCAAGATGGCGTAGTAATACTTAAAAAATCTTTATTCACTCAGTTTATTAACATTTTAAGATTGTTCCACTCGCTGTTCAAATCCTACCATCTACGCACGTTTCTGTGTGTGTGTGTGACTGAGTGAGGTTAAGGTGTTCTGGGGTATTGAATTGTCTGCACAGTAAACATGCCAGCTATTGTAACAATGCGGACTAATGATGATGTATGTGTACAGTATGTTTGCTCGTGTGTGTATTTGTGTGTGGCTGATAACAGCTCGCGCCTGTGTGTTTGGTCATGTTGTACAGTTGTGTGCACATACACTATAATGTGCATGCTTTGTGGTAAATGAGTGTCTGAATCGAGGACGCAGTAAGAGATTGTCATGAGAAAACACCATTTCTGTCCCTCACATGCACACACTGTATACTGTAGACATTCACACAAACATGTACGTGAGGAATAGAGATGTGACAGGGGGAGTAGAAGCACGTTTTTTCTCACAAAATAGCCTGTGAAAATATGGCCCACTGGGTATTTTTTTAGTTACCCGGTCGCTTCTATAAAGTGTCCATCTTGCTCCCGTTGTTGCTAAGACACGCTGTAGCTAAAAGTGAAAATGTTTTTGTATCAGCAGGCGTTTGTTTCGAGTAGCTCCGACTGCTACAACGTTCTCAGTTGTGAGTGTTGTTGAGGATATCGACGTAAAGACAAAAGAGCCGGCGCCGTCCAGTTCGTTAGCTGCAATGCGACATCCAACCCTTATTTAACCTGAGAATGAAACACCTTTTAAAACACCTGCTGACTGCACACACACTGTCTCACTGTCTCTCTCATTTCTCACTGTCTTGTGTTTTTGCTCTCCACAATTCACTAGTCTCGGTCCTTCTGCCTCTTCTTCACACACGTACACACACACACACACACACACGCATGCACACGCACAAAATCTCTTCTGTATCTGTCCGGAGTGGGCGGAGGCCTCCGAATGACCTCTCCAGCTGGCACACTGTGTTCTAGTATTGTCACTACTGCCTCGCATCTGAGCCGTATCACAGATAATCACATTGGACCCGCCTTCTCAAGCTTAGGCTGTCAGTAATGCGAAATATGCCAGCTTTATACACACACACGCCATAGACACAGCCAATCCAGGAGTGTATTATGGTCATCTTGAAATTTTTATTATTTTTTCTTTTTTTTTGAGACCTTTGAAAGAAGGAAATAATAAAAAAAAAAAATTCTTTTGACAGGGACAAATGTATTTTACTATTCTACTATTAGTCTATTAGTAGAACTCCTCTTTATGACATTAAATGAATGAAAGTATATGTAACATACACATTTCTACACTAAAATCCTTAGAAAGAGAGAAAATGTACTCCTTCTACCTGATAAAAATTTGTTTATATAATAAATTATATTGTATCATGTTTGTATTTGCAAATTTTGTTCATTTCTAAAGTTTTCCTGCTGCACACAAGATGTCTCCTACTTCACTGTAGTCCATCCTCAGTGTATGTGCACTGGTAGCTTCAAGTTTCTACCTCACTTGTATACGATGCAAATTGGACCAGGATTGATTTACAACTATTTGTGATGTCACAAATCATGCTGGTAGGCCCCGCCCCTTAAAAAAATCAGATTTTCAGTGAGCACAGAGAAACTTTCCACTTTCAGCACATAAATGTTGAAACATCTTTCTAGTGTCAAACTCTGCACAGTGAAACATCCAACTGTAGGAACAAGAAGAAATACGTACGTTTGAGTGGAAGGGGTAACATTTAACTGTTCCAAGAATCTGTAGCCTTTTTCACAGCAGACATTTTGACAGTGTTGTTGAGCGTGTCGTTGGTCTGCTCAGATGGTCAGGTGTGCATGAAGGGATTGATATTGGTGATTACTGAATATGCTCGTCTCATACTTTCCCTTCCTTCTGCAGACACAGACTGTTCAGGAGGCTCTGCAGCGAACTCTACAATTCTACAGACAGCAAGAGATCAGGTAGGACTGTCTTTCTCGCCTGCCGTCGGCCTCTCTCGCTCGTTCTCTTTCTGACTCCCGTCCTCTTTTATCAATCTCCACACTCACTTGCTGTCTACCTGCTCCCTCGTCTTAGTGTCCCTATCACTCATTTTCTCCCCTTTGCCTTTATTTTGTCTGCCTGTCTGTCACACATGTGCATACACACACCTGTTCAGTCTCTGTGAGCCTTTCACTGTCTCTGCTACCTCTCATTCTCCCTGCCTCCTTGTCTTTTTCGGTCACACAGAGAGACAGAGACACACACACACACACACACATAAAGACACTCCTTCAGCTCTTGTCTCTGCCACTCTCTCACTGTCTCTCCCTGTCAAAACAGTAAAACCCAGTAGAGAGGGGTGAGCCAGGGCACAACACGTGCTGACATTGTCCATGAAGCGCATTACAGCGTACAGATATAGACACTGGGTTGGGACCTCTCTGAATGTTCTTTTCTTCTTCTCTCCTCTCCACTCTCCTTTAAACCTCGAACTTGCTTTGTGCCACTCTTGATTCATGTACACTGCAGCTGAGCCCTGGTTCACTTTAAGCAAATCATATATTGACACACATTAGTCTGTTCTGTGGTAAAGGGGAGTTTTCTTACACTGGTTTCTTTGTGTCCTTCTTCGTGACGTTGGACTAAATAATTATGAGCAATCCCAGAAGTGATTCTTTATACTGGGTCTCTGTGTTTTAGGTGTATTTGAATATAAACATTTATGTAGGATTATCTCGAGCGTTATTGTGATACACTGACTGTAGTAAAGGTTCGAAATGTGGCTCGTGACCAGAGAGGGTCTCTAGTCCCCTAATTCCCTAACCAAAGTGAAAAAGCATCACTTGCCCATTACCATTGTTCAGGTGACTTTGAGCGCTGTCCCCTCTGTCTTTATGTTGTCCAGCTGCTTCTGTGAATCTGCTCAGTGACCAGAAATATAAACCTACACAGTCTAATTGAAGTGTCAGGTCACCCAAATCACAAACAAACAAACAAACAAACACATGCAGTATATTCCCACCTCCCCTTAATGGTATCTATCCATGCAGAGATTGTTGCCAGCACCCCAACAAAATGGGATTTAAAGAAGTGTTGTTTGTTTAGCTCACTGCACTGAAAAATGGCTTTTTAAAATCTCCCCAACAATGAGTTTTTCCAGAAATAACCCACAACAGTCGAGAGTTTTTAATGGATGTACTTTGTTATGAAGATAATAATGTGTGACAGCACAGCTTGTACAAGAAAAATAAAAAAATTGTCCATGGTGCATCTTGAGGGGATGAGTTAGAGATTCATCCTGTCATTGGCTTGTTAGCGCCTTATTAGCTCTTATTTGCTGATATCATGGTTAATCATGGCTTAACCTGTGTGTGTTTGGTGTGTGTCTTTGACAGGTGTCAGGAAGTTGGCAGCGAGGAGCGGCGAAGAGAAAGGAGAGAGGATAAGTGCCCATTTCTAGAAAATTCTGGTTCAGAGGAAGATGTCCTACAAATCCTTCAGTACATGGCCACCATACTGGGTAAGTATTTGAAGTAAATTAAGATGTGTGTACAGGTAGGATACATGTTCTCTGTGTATGAGCTGATGTTGTTATGAGTGTGTGTATGTATTTAGTTTTCACCACTTTGTTTCTGGCTATGTTCTTTTTCTGTTGTTGCTTGGAATTGATTTTACTGTTCTTTATTTTTATTACGTGCCAAGCAACACGTAGACACTGTTTCCTTTTCCCCCCATAGATGTCCTTCAGCGTCAGTATTATTTGTGTGTGTGTGTGTGTGTGGACAGTGAAATGAAGTAGGGATGTCTCGATCCGATCTCAACCTAACTGATAGGTATTGAGCTTTATTGACTCGGTCTGATCTTTATGTCAGCTGTTTTTACTCACAAAGCTTTCACGCCGCTTTCTGCCTCTCCACTCTGCTGAGCTCTGTGTGTCAGTGTGTGTCTCCACTGACGTCTCCCCTCTGAGCAGAGGCAGCCCGCTTTTCTAAACGACTCGAATCAGGGGCTAAATGAAGCCATCCCCCCAGAGGCTAGATCTCTTTTTTTATGACACTTTTAATGAAAAAATAGTATCATGTTTCAGTATCATGAGCTAGGTAGCACACATACAGCCAGATATACTATTTACACGTGCAAAAACACATACATACATGTAAAAAGAAAAACACACACTGTATGACTCACTCTTGAGGCTTGCACTGTCTTTATGGCCTAACATGACACACACGTTGTCCTAGTGATTCACTCAGTACAGCGTTGTCCTCCCTCTATACCGTCTAAGATCTCCTCCTGCCTCTGTCTGTAGTCTTTCTCTGTCCTGTCTTTTGCACAGCTACCACCACTGTAGGCACTAACTGTACACTACTACTGTATGTGTTAACTCCTCTGTCCTTCAGTCCTCTTCTCATCTGTCTCCATGTGATCTCCATCACACTCCCTTTCAGCTTTTTGCTTCAGCTCTCTCCATGTCTCCTTCTGTCTTTGCCTGCGAATCTTCCTTTCTTCTCTCCATCTCTTTAAACCTTCCTCATGTGTTCTTCTATCTCCTTTTTTGCTCCGTCTCTCTGAGTTTATCCATTTATCCATCCATTTTGTGCTGCTTGTCTGGGTGCAAGTCATGGTGGCAGCAGGCTGCTCCTTCTCCCCAGCCTCGTCTTCCTGGGGGATCCCGAGGTGTTCCCTGGCCAGAATGGATATTAAATCCCTGCAGTATGTTCTGGATCTGCCCAGGGATCTTCTCCCAGTTGGATGAGCCCGAAATGCATCCACAGGGAGGCGTCCAGGAGGCCTTGGTGCCAACGAAGGCGTCTGTGCCCAAACCACCTCAACTGACTCTTTTCAATTAGATTGAGCCATCCTGTGAAAAATACAAACCCTTTGGACACATGTATCTGTGATCTCTTTCAGTCAATATCCAAAGCTCGTGACCACAGTCGAACATTGTGTGTCAATAAAATGATACGTTGAAAACTTCAAGGTGTTTTTTAAATCTGTCTTTGCACTTTTCTCCCTCTGTAAGTCTGTCAAGTTGTGCCCTGTTTAGTGCTTTCCAAATGTTCTTTATTTTCTTGCACACATTTCTGATTTTGTTCTGTTTTGTGGTGTCAGGTCTTATTTATATTAAATGTCAATTTAGATTTTGCTATAATCCTTTAATCCTGTTTTTTCTCAGTTATTATTCAGCAGTAGGCATGTGACATGATTATTTTATCTTATCAATATTCATTATTTCCACAAGGCTTTGATGTTTGATTACTTTGAATACTGATTTTCTGTGGTTGATATGCTTAAAATGATATTTTCTGAATTTAAATCTTGGCCAAAACAAATCATGGAGCAAAAATAAAATGAGTTTTCATGTAAAAGGAGGCTGTAACAGAAAAATATGACACACACAATAATACTGAAAGACCAAGAACCAAGTTGCAAGTCTGCGGATTGCTAAATGACATGTCTCCTCAATCATATTGATAATATCCATATGTAGATTGTTGTCAGTGTAGGTATTCTTGTGTATTACTGTTTATGGGGTTGATCATTTGTGTCTATTCTTAGAAGAGTGCAATTCGGCAGAGCTGACATTGGTGTTTTGCCTCCCCTCCCTCCCAGGAGTCCCATTCTGTGAGCTGCGCGAGCATTTCGGGGAGGAGTTCTTTGGCCTCTGCTTTGAAGAAAATGAACGAGTGCTTCGGGCTGTGGGTGGCAACCTCCAGGACTTTTTCAATGGCTTTGACGCCATTTTGGAGCACATTCGCACCTCCACGGGGCGCCGTGCTTCATCTGAGAGCCCCTCCTTCCAGTGCAAGGATCCCCACGAGGAGGAGAAAGGCAGAAGAAAATTGGACAAAGTTGGAGAGCAAGGAGAAAGAGATGGAAGAGGGAAGGTGTTGCTTCTTCACTGTTTCAACCCTGCCCCTGTTGTTGGATTGGTCATGCCAGGGTTGATCCGAGCTGTTGCCAGGCGGATCTTTCATTCAGAAGTTGAGGTGGAAGAGGTGCCACCTCTAACTCCCTTATTGCCCAATGAAGATACAGAACACACAGACGGTGACTCTGCAACTCCAACTGCATCACCCACTGCCTCACCCTCTTCATCCCCATCCCCTCCCTCTCCTTTCCAAACCTCTGTTCCCACAGTTTGCTTGTCCTTCCAAATTCACGAGACGTGTCCTCCTTCCCTCTCCTCCTTCCCAAATGCTGCCCCGGTGAGCACTAAACGCCCCCACCCCTCACTCTCCACCAACCCCAGTGATCTGCGCATCGGCCTGGCCACGTTTTGCCGTGCCTTTCCGTTTCACCTTGTCCTGGGGCCTCGCATGGAGCTACTGCAGCTTGGAGAAGGGTTGAGGAGACAGGCTCGCATTGAGCCTCATCGGAGCTTCTCGTTCAGGGACTGTTTTGAGATTGTCTCACCCAAGATGGAGCCGTCGTTCCAGGGTATCCTCCTGAGGCTTGCATCCCCATTTACCATCCGTACCAGACCTGATACCACACAAACGGGCACCAAGGAGAAGGTAAAGATATTATACATAACAGATGACACTGATTCTCAAATCTTTTAATTTTATAGAAAATGATTGCAGTAATAGAAACTGCTTGATAAACTGAAATCTAGTTAAAACATTTTAATGATAAGGCTCCTGGTGTGCTGCAGTGAAACCCACTGATCTATGGGATGTGCTCACTCTACTACTCTGCCATTCCACCACATTTTGCAAGCCTGTGATGTTTTTGCATGGGAAGAATAAGAGTTGAATTGGTTCCAATTTGCCAGAAACAATTAATCAATTCGAGTTGTGTGCTATATCCAGTTCTTTATTGATTGGATGGTCTCCGCAGGCTGTCGGTGTCAGCACCAGACACCCGATGCTAAACAGAACTGACAGAAAGGAGATTGATCGGTCTAACCACAGTGCTGTGCTGTGTGGGTATGAGTGTTTGTGTATGGGTGGGTGAGTTAGGCATGTCTGATGCTGCTCACTAAAAAACAGGAGGATATTTGTATTGAAAAGTACTGGCACATAATGTGCCCCAATGAGAGCACATGTGTACCCTTTGTCCCGATCCATCCTGAACTAAAGCTGGAGTTACTGTGGAAACACACTGATGGAGGCAACCTGATGGTACAGGGGAAAAGGCACTTGTCTACTATTGGAGAACACAAGTGGGTGGGAAGCTGTTGGGGGATCGTGTCTCTGCCACTAGCATCTCCACAGTCTTATCAGACCAAGAGTGGAATTAAACATTTTCAACAAACAAGCAAATAAAAATAAGGTGGCTCTCAGCCTTCAGTTGATTACAACTACTCCCAGTTGTGTTTCCTGGTTGTGGAGACATTTGGAGTTTTGTTTCTATACTGTTGTGTTTTTTAGTGGTTTCTTATGTAGCTGGGGTCAAGTTCTGTGAGTGAACTAGATTAAATAGAGAAGTGATCCTCACACAGTGCTGGGTCCTATGTGCATGGACTGTTTGGGTGTTTCTGGGTGAATATAAATGATAGTAATATAAACTGAAGGGTATCGAAGTAAATCCTCATCCATTCAGTGAGGTATTTTACTGGTCTCATTCTTGTTAGACAGCTGTGCCGATTCACAATGCTGCATGACAAAAATGGGTCACTGAGTGGAGACATGGCTTCTCCAGACAGAAACATTTTATTATTTTATCTATCATTCCGAGTGACAAGACGCGAATAAACAGCGTTGCACCACAGATCTGCAGCCAAGGGCAGATGGTGCGGTTGAAAGTCCTGTTATGTCATGTTTCCCCTCCTTGTCATAGCACTGTTTGCTTTAGTCTTTGCCCTGGCACGTACAGCACACTCACACAGCACTCAAACCAGTTAAAATACATCTCTAAACAAACCTGATACAATTAGTTCAGATTATGTCGTGTGATTTGTTTTAGTTTGCTGCTATGCAAGATGATTGGGGTGTACTGCTGCCTGATTTTAATGTATGCCATACCAACACTGTAGAGAATACTTTATGTTCAAAGGGTTACACAGGGCAACACATCTTGCACAGATATTGTATTTGAGCATGTGCTGGTAAGACTGGATGTAAGGACTTCTGCTCTGAACTGTTATTTAGGGCTGCAACTATTGTTGTTTCGTCCATAAAATGTCAGAAAATAGTGAGAATGTCCGCTTTGTCTTCAGATGTGTTGTTCTATTCAGTCCCAAACCCAAAGATATCTGGTTTATTATCACGCAGGACAAAGAAAAGCATTAAATTCATTGATTTTTGATTGATTTGACAAATGTTTGGTAATTTTACTTGAAAAATTAATGAAAAGATTATTTAATTATCAACTAATTTCCTGTCAGATGACTAATCAATTAATCGCTGCAGCTCTATTATTATTATATTTTAGTAACATTTTAAAAATGTCAGTGCCCATTATTATTTGTTAATGTAATTAGAAGTATTAGTTAGTACGTCACAACTTGTGAACGCCACAGAAGTGAATCATTCGTATGGGCCGCTCTCATGAAAGTTGTTTGCACTGCGGTGTAAAGGCTAGGACAGTGTTTCAGGTCTGTGTACACAGAGCTCTAATTGGGTGATTTTGGTCTTGCGTTATCCAAATAAACCAATCTCGGGGGTTTTAGTGCATTAATCTGAACAGATGACAGGAAAACACAACTACATAGGTTTTATTCTCCTCCTCACAGTCAGGCCTCAAGTACCGCTGGAGTACTTTAACGTCTCCTCTCTTTCTGACTCTCTGTCAGTGTCACTCATAGATTCACTATCATTCTCTCTCCCTCTCTGCTGCTTACCATTTTCTATCTTTCTCTCTCTCTCACAAAGATAAGATGACACAGCAGCACGGGGCAAAGGTAGTGCAAAAAGTACAGAAGAGTAAAAACACAATAAAGAATAAAATAAAACACATTATAAAGATATAATATAAAATATAAAGACTATAATGAAAATATATACACTATATGCAGTACGCAGTAAGAAATATGGTGTGCAAAAATATTTTGAACAGTTTATAACTAACTGTGCAATTATTACAAGGCTTTGCTGTTTCCCCTCACATATTCATAGCTTTTTTATTCTCTCCCTCTTGTGCAATCAGACATACGTTTGATTAAAAAGGGTATAAGCTGTGAAAAATGGAAAAGCAACAATCACTAAAATAAATGCTTCCTCTTTCATTAGTCTCTCTCCTCTTTTCACTACTTAGTTGAAGTTCCCTGATAAGACAGACTTTACTGTCTTTTAAATGTCACCTTGTGTGGATACATTACATTTGATAAGTTGTATAAGAGGGGATCAGAGGAAATGCAGTTGTAACTGTAGTGTAATGCTCCGTATTTCAGGAAGATCAATGAATAGTGAAGCTGAGGGTTCTTATTTGAAAGCTATGGCTCACTTTTATCCTTAGTACACAATTCCAAGACATAATAATGTTATTGTTTACTTTTCCTTTTGTTGTTGCGAGGACTTTCTTTTTGCTTTTGGGTCAGTCATATTGATCAAATTGTTTATCACAGTTTCCTAACTGATCCAAATAGTATGTGTTTGTGGTTTTATCCTTTTTAGACGGCAGACCAGTGGAATCGGCAACAAGCGTAAATTACTGACAGGAAGTTCAGTCTCGGGTTGTATTGAGTTTAGGGTCAGCTGGTGTTCTGGTTCTGCGCATGTTCTATAATTATCTGTCTTTCTCATCCCTCCCATCCACAGACCCCTGCTCGAAAAAGGTTCCTCTGCACATTCATGAGTCAGCGTACAGCAGCTGCCTTTTCTACTCCCTTTTGTGTGTGTCACCGGTGATCAGAACCTGGCACTGCTGAAGTCTTAAGTTAGACAATGCCTCCGAGCTCCAGGCACCATCACTGAGAAACTTGAAAGATTTGTGTTGCATTAGGGTGGGCGGACATTGTTATTCTTTATTTTTGCCATATGAATCTTGTGTCACCTGGGCAGAGAGGCAGAACAAAGAGAGAGAGAAAAGAAGGATGGGCTGACATTTTCACCAGAAAGGGCAGCGAGAGAAGGCGACAGGCCAAGGTAAAGAGGCCACAAAAGAGCACTCCCCTGTGCTGCACTCTGTGTGTGTGT